CTAGTAAAGATTTTCTGGCTCTTAGTAAGGCCTATTTATTTTACACTTTCTCTTTCTCACTTTATTTCCTCTTCCAATGTAATTTCAGCATTGTCTATTTGGTCCTATAAGTGTGCTATTGTAAATGCTCTGAGAAGAAGAGATCAAGGCGAGTGGGTGGGCTACACTGACAATATGGCATCTATATACGTGCCATGCCATAAGCAAGAATCTTCATGTATGAGGAAACGGAGATATAGCTACAGCAAAACAGGTGGGGGAAATCATGTTACAAAACAAAAGAAAAACTTTTTATTTCTTTAAACTCTTTGTTTTGGTTATGGACTTGGCAACATACCAAGACGTGTTTGTGAAACTATGTTCTCCAAGTAGACTAACTACTAAGTTACTACTGCATTGTCAGGTCACAATAACATTCTTCTAGCTTCATGTAACGGCTGAAGTGAAACAATGTGTTCATAATTTCCGTCACATATCCCGTTCTCAGAATCTAGCGGTTTAGATTGTGATCGATTCACCAGCACAGCTTTGAGCTAAAGAAGCACTGCACAACACAATCTGACAGAAACATGAAGAACACATCTTCACAGAGAAACATCCACTGAATTGCGTCAAAACACGTTACTTCACTGCCTTAAAAAGCAACTTACCCCTCTGTGTGTCGCTCAAGGTTTCTGAGAAAATGTCCCCCGCTGAAATAAGCTTAGTCAACACGTTACTGACTTTAATAACTACCGTTTAAGAGATCACACGCCGTTTTAAAAATATATTTTCAACTTTTCCGTCACTAAACACAAGCTAAAGTGGACTATGCGAAAACGGGCTGCACATTTCCAGTTTCTGTTTGATTGACAGGTCTTTGAGGCTCTCGTGAACGAGATCAGAATTCCGTCCAATCCCTGAACTCGGATGACGCAAAGAGGCGGGTCTTGGAGGCTGCGCGCTCGAGAGCTCTTGTGTTTGTTGCCCTGGCTCAACAGGCTCTTCCGACAGCTCAGTCCTCCCTCGTGACGCGCCGCTGTGAAACACCGCACGGCGGGGGGAGAGAACACTGCTAGAACAGCGCGCCTGGAAGTCATCTGAATTACTGGCAATGCCTGCGTCATCTCAACTTTAATTCAGTGAATGTGAAAAGTGAAGCGTACTGTCTCGACGTGTGCCCTAATCACCCCCCCCCCTTTTTTTTAATAACAAAGTATGTTTAAATGTGAGCACAAATCCCATACAATCAAATATATCAATATTAGCCATATACCTCAAAGCGGATTTTATTTATTTTACAGAAAAGAATAGTCAGCCTATTACAGATATTTAGAAAGTTAAGAATGGCAAAATATGAAAGGTGTTTATTTCAGAAACAATATGGCTTAGCGAACAAATTTCAATTTAAGTTCTTGACTGGACTATGTGTAAATAGGCCTAGTCCTAAATCCTGGAATAATATGAACTTTTTATAGCTTCGGAATTTCTAATGGGGAATTAGATTAGCAATTGTATATTTATGTATGAATGTGTTGTTAGTTTATTTTTTATTTTTATTTTTTTGTTTTTTTTAAGATGTTTTTTTTGTGTGGAAAATTCATGTTTCAGGTGTGTCTGTCTGTAATTTATATTGTAGAACAAACAATAGCCTCTTCAAGTAATGTTAACCACGGCCATTTCTTACTCAGAAATCACAAACTATTTTAGAAACCCCTTTGAAATTCCCTAAGGAAACCCACAGTGGATTAACTTTCTGGGTAAACCATTGACATCCAGATTGAGCAAATCTGCTATTTATTTCAAATTCAGGTTGATTTGAACAGTTGTGGTTGATTTAAAATAAACTTTGGATGGTCCACTGTGTTTATCCCATTATTGGATATGCTTTGTTTCATCAAATAGGCCCTTATAGGTTCCTTATTGGAGTACAAATGGGTGTTACCAGGTCATTGGACATCCGGACATGCTTCCAAGGAAACTTCAGAGGATGTTTTCTACAGTCCAGTAGTTCTGGTCCAAGTCCAATAGGCTCTAGTTGTTCTTCCTTCACATCTGCTCTCTCAGTTCTGTCTCAAACAGAAACTGATGCTGACAAAAAAAACATTCATATGTGATGCTGTGTCAAGAAAGGATTCTGGAAATTACACATCACATGCATGCATTAATACTGAAATAAAGATCTCATGATGTGCACATGCGTTCACTTTATTAGTGTCTGTTTATTCTCACATTAAAATATCAAGCTTGGGTTGAGACTATAAGAAATTAAACGGTGAAGGATGAGGAAAATGTAATTTTGTCACTAGATAATGACAGAATTTTCCTTTTTGGATGAACTATTCCTTTCACAAAATACAAGGACTGCACTTTTGTACAGATCTGTTAGCCTGTAAAGATCTAAAGAGGCTCAAGAGTCCGGCTTCAGACAGGCCGGATGGTCTGTGAATATAGCACTTCCTCAAGTTTTATTTTAGAAAATGCAAAGTGATTTTTTGTTATGTTGTATTATGTTAACATTTGCATACAATGACAAAGATGATGAAAGAGGAATAAAGAAAAAGGAAATAATAAACATGTTCTCATGCAATCAATGTAATTTCTCGCTAGTCAGCACTGATGTCTTCTGCACGTCACATTGGCACATTTCTGCACTTCTATCCGATTATACATAAAACTCTAAAAAAAAAAAGGTTTTTCAGCGGTTCTTTGCGGTGGTCATGGTGCTATTTAAAGAACTTGTTAAACCCAGTTTGGTTCTTCAGTGGTTCTTTGGTTAAGGTGCTCTATTGGCCTCTGGTTCTACATAGCAACATCTGTTAAAGATAAGTGGTTACCTATGATTACAAGCCAATGAACCACTTTTAGTGCTATATAGCACCATTTTTGTTCAGAGTGTATAGTAGGCTATGTGCATTAGAGACATTAATGGTCTCAAATATGAAAATAGGCCAGAATACAAACTCCCATAAGCAGAATGAGTGTTCAGAAACAAAATATGAATGATGTAATTTTCCATTTGGATCTAGACTTCAGTTAATATGTTTAAGTGAACTCATTCGGAGAGTCACACGTGTGATTAATAACCAAAATATGCGCTTCCAACATAGTCATTCATGAGAAAAAAAAAAATGCTGCACACAATCCTCCCTATCACTAAAAGCCTCGTTATTTTTGTCTCCAGGTTTTTCCTGGTAGGAAGTTCACATAAGAGAAAGTCCAGATAAACATCAGCTCAGGTTCTTGTTTGTTCTTCATGCTGCTCTCTGCAAACACACAACCATCTGTTCCCCCGAGACTCTGATGGAAAACACAGATGTGCGGTGTGTGTATCAAGCTATATACAGGCTATGACTATATGTGTTGCAGACACAGTGACCAATCCATGCACATCTACATCATTGATACACTGCATTCTTTTTTGTTGCAATTTACAATAGATATATCTATGATACGGTACATCTACAAAACAGACTATTATCTATTTCAGTGATTTCAGTGATAGTTTATCTGATTCAGTGATGCATATAGTGCTCCAAGTGGCCTCCCTTTTGGAAAAGCACTCTCCTTAATCAGATTCCTCTCATTGATTATTTAATGTATTCCCTCTACAACCAACATGACACCACCAAGGGCAGAGAAGAGACAGAAAGAACACGAGGGCATAAGAGAGAGAAACGGAGACAAAAACAGGGCAGACACCAGCCTGTGTAGCAATATCTAAAAAATCAGCCTATACAGTAATGCATTATGCAGTATCTCTGTCCAAACATGGCACATCAAACACGGCACCGAAAACAAGCTTTTACTTTTAGCGTCACGCATCATTTCATTAATAACAATGTATTTGGGTGCTTTTAAAACCTTTGAGTTGAATTATGGATTCACTTATAAACTTATTTAATCTCTGGTCTAAATTATATAAATTATATTATATTACATAACTGACCTCAAGAAACATCTAAAAAGCCAAAAGTCTTTTTTTTTGTTGTTGTTGTTTTGTGTTTTTTCCCAAAGCCTTTAAAGCCCTTTTTAAAGGGTCAAATCATTCATCATTGTTTTTCTCTGCAGTTCAGTGTTCCGGTTTTATTTATCCAACGAATGTCGACTCAGGAGGGAGACAGGTCTGTAATTCTCTACAATGTGTTTAAAGCAGTGAAGTTACCCGAGCCTGCTTGAAAACTGGAGGGAATGATTGAATTTGATTGATGCTGACAATTATTAAAATTTGACTGCAGTGTCCAGCCATATTTGGGCTGTTAATTTGACCATTTTAAAGCTATAAAGCCTACTGTATCATATTTGCTATGCAAATTTCTAAGGCCTCAAATTTATGATCAAAACGCAAGGAAAAAAAGCTCAGGAACCTGCTACAATGTGCAAAATGCCCTTTATTGTATGATTGACAGTTTTACTTTTTAAGCAAGTAAAATACCTTTTAGTATTTTTCCAAAACTAACCTCAAAGAGAATTTTACTTTACAGAAAAGAATAATCATATATACTAACATTATATTTAAATGTGATTTTTTTAAGAATGGCAAAATATGAAAGGTGTTTATTTTAGAGTTGTTACATTTTGGATTGGCGTTATAATGTTGAAGACGCGCTATAATCTAGTGATTGTCGGTGCACTGTGAATTTGGCTTTTGCTATGTCCCTGTCCTATAATTGCACACACATGATCATGTCTTTTTCAAAGCCCTAACCCCGAATTTGAAAGAAAATGTTCTCATGACACTGCAGATTACTTGCTGGTACAGCTTGATATTGGTGTGTGTGCAGTATCATTCTGAACTATCAATCAGTAGGCTTATAGCCTGTGTCTGTGTGGCGAGCAGGACAAGGCCGAGGGACGTGAGAGATGGCCCTTTCATAGTTTTTGTTCATTATCTTCAATTCAGCTTTTCATTCTCACCAGAACAATAACACAGCAATGATTCAGTGCGCAGCTGCTGCTCTCTCTGATAACTGTAACTGGGTAGGGACAGATAATGAAAAAAAAAGAGAGTGAAAAGATGGACACTTTTATTTGTTTATTAAAAGCAACCTACACCCAATCCATTTATACAGCCACAAATCTCACAAGGACAACAGTAGAGCCAGTAAGTAGCTTCATTCAGACCATCACACCTTGTAAACTACTGCCCATATGTGCAATGAACACTGCAATAGCTGTGTATTTTCATAACATGAGATCATAAATAGCATGATACAAAATGCGTGCTTTCAGTGTATTGTTTTAAAAATTAGACTATTTATGCGATAATGTAGGTTGATTATCTGACATAAGGGCACTTAAAGTACAATGAAAGATCAGAGACTGATCTGAATATTCAAATATTGAATATTAACATGATATATTTCAATTTACTTCAGTGATCTGAATTACTTCTTGGATAGATCATGTCAGTAATCACATCAGTTTACTTTTTTTGTAACCCATATAAGCTCCGGTTTACCTGATATTGTATTTGTGTGTACCTTTATATGAAAGACAAAAAAACAAACCAATCTTGCTTTAAGCATGATAAAGGTTATATGTACAAACAAGGTAAAGAGTCAAATTATTTCACTTCAGGATAAATAAAACTGAATTGTCAAATGCAAACTTTTCAGAGACTGAAATTCTGCTTGATTTTACAGGTTTCTACAGCTAATATCAAATTATGCATGTCAAATGCAGCAACTGCAAGTCTTTTACATCAAATCTGAATTAGAGAGTGAAGCATTTAAAACATTTGCCCTCAGTGACAGAAAAGTCAGTGCCATTGTTTTGCCTCAAGATGCACACCAGTAATGTTTTTTCTAAGGTTTTTGTTTATAAAAGCTACTTAGATGTCCTAATTGAACTGGCCTAATCTTGGCTTAATCTAAGCCCTGTCTGTGAAACCAGGCCTTGGAGTTTGGGATCACATTAACGTCAGTAGCCAGATCACAAAACAACTCACCATAGTTCTTAACCTAAGAGATAAATCAAATCTTCAGTTTCAAAAGACAAAAAGTTAGTCAGTTTTTTTCAGTATGATTACATTTCTAAATAATATCTTATAATTTATTTTCCCCTCAATAGTAAAACAATAGTACCATCTGACAACAGCTTGTACCTCAAAGCTTTCACTTCCAATTGCTTCCAACCGTTCGTTCAAAGCCCAGACATTCAACAAGACGCATAGGGCCTGCTAATAATTTATACTGTTGAAATCAGCAGCCGTCACATCACATGATAAAGATCACAGGGTGTTCATTAAATATAGGCATTTCAATATAAAGTTAACAACATCTAAATGCCATGAGGGTGTTTATGAAAATAGTCTTCCGGAGCACAAACCTCCTTACATCCACCTTTCCAGAAAATACTATAACATTCAATTGTTTTGAAGATGTTAAATGTACATTACAGTCAGTCTCAGTGATCAAATTACTCTCTTTGAAACTTTTTTTTGAGTATTATACATTTTTCCAGACAATAAATCACTTCATTTGTCAATTTTAAAAACTGACAATTAATGAAAACAAAATAGTAATAATAAAAAAAATAAGCAACCTTTGGGTTGAGGACATACCAAGAAATAAAGCAAACCAAATGTTTGCTCTTTATTCCTCCATTTCATTTTGCTCTTAATTCCTCCATCAAACACATCTCAGTTCCCTACATCCCATCATCCTTATTTATCTCCAGACTTCCACACTCTTTTTTCCCCCGTGTTGAGCTTTTTCCAGGGCTTAACATACTGGACTTACTGGCCTGCCTTCTCCCTTGGCCTCACCGTCTCCTGGAACACCAGGCGTGAGTGATCAGCTGCTTCTAGCAAGGCCTCCATTTCTGGGCTGTCAATATTGACCAGTTCACCTTCCTCCACCTTTGACACTAGGCCTCCTTCTTGCACCACAAGCTCCTCCTGGAGCTCCTCAGCCTGCTTCTCTTCCTCAGGCTCGGGTGTGGGTTCAATCGCACCTCCACGGACCTTCTTGACGTGGAAAGTGAAGGGCGCCACACGGTAGGTGGTGGATTTGGAGCGGGCGTAGACAGGGTGGTCGGGTGTCAGTGTCTTCTTCATCTTCTCTCTGGAGCTACGGATCTTAATGCGGCGCTGGGTGTCAGGGGTCATCTTTGTTCCCAGCGTATCCATCTTCTTGCTCAGGCTCTTCTTGGTCTTCTCCAGGTTCTCTTTCGTTCTCTGTCGGGTTTTTTCCAGGTTCTCTTTGGTCTTCTGCCTTGTCTTCTCCATCTGCTCCTTGCTGAAGGCCTTCTTCAGCTCATCCATCTTCTGGAGGCCGCTGCGCTTGATGCGTTCAGCACGAGATTCCTCAATGATCTCCTCACCCTCCACTTCTTCACCTCCTTCACTCAGCACCTGCTCTTCTTCCTCTTCTGCAGCCACTGGCTTCTTAGAGGCTTTCACCGGTTTCACTTTGTCCTGAGAGAAGAGGAGAGAACAGTTAAGGAATTCAGATTAGATTGGACGAGGCAAATCCGAAACTTCTAGATCTGATCATAAGCAGTTGATATTAAAGTGGGCATGAAAAGCACCATTTTATATAAAGTGAATCAAAGAGCTGTTCATTTCCACTTTCAGTATGACTAAAGGGTACTGAATATAGTGTGTAAATATACATGTTTCATAATAGTGTATTCAGCAGGCCTTGTTTCCTGTCCACAATTTTCAGGGGTTTTGCGACACTTTTTAAAAATGGAAAAAAAAAATCTATTAAGGATTGATATTACTTTTGTTGTTTTTTTGTTAGACTGATTGCTACCACTTTTACGTAATAAAAAAAAAGGTTCCCTTCATCCTAGTTGAATAAGATTTTATGACTTTTCATACATGATCTATCTATAGTATACACACACAAAAACTGGGCTTGATTCGGTTGTTCTGAAGGTATGTAAGAAAAAAATGTTTACACTTCTGGTCTTCTAAATATATCTGGTCTTCTAAAAAACTAAATATATTTTCTATATAAAAAAAATCTGGCATAAATATGAAATTTTTTACACAGAAATGAATGCCTAGTACTAGAGCATAAATGCAATGTATCATAAAAAAAGAATATTTCATATGCAAGCTAATGGTGTAGCTAAAGAATTGTGTGGTATATGGCTACAAAAGTACTTTATATCTCCAAAAACACAGCATTAATGAATAGATGAGAAGTAAACAAAAAATGATATATTATTTCAACGCATTCTCACCCCAAGGCGTCACCTTTGACCATGCTTCAATATTTGACGTTTTAGGCGCCCTTTAGCGTCACTTACATGACGCGATCCTACGGCGTCATCTAACTGACGCTAAAGGAAAGTGTCTGTTAGAGGACGCGGTTAGGTTTAGGTGTGGGGTGGGGGTAGGGTACACGCGGTCCTAAGGCGTCATCTTACTGACGCTAAAGGGCGCCTAAAGCGTCAGATATTGAAGCATGTCCAAATGCTTCCCAAGGCGTCAGTTAAGTGACGCCTTGGGGGTGAGAATGGGCTGATTATTTGTATGATTAAAAATGTATATTTTTTTTACAATTACTCAATCAATTGTTGGGGTCATATAGACCCCGAAGCCCAGAAGTGTAAACAGGAAACGAAGACCATTTGAAGGTTAAACCCAAATCAATATTTTAAGTTCATGTATCCGGCTGACTGTACACAATCCCTATTCGGGCTTAAATTTGAACACTGAATTTCTTGTGAGAAACTAATCATCAGCTTAATAATTGTATTTGAGGCTTCAACCAGTTGGACTTCATTCTTCTCAAGACTTATAATAGCTCTATATTGTCACCCCTAAGCCTGTTCTTAACATGTTCACAATCATTGAGTCATTCACTCCTCATTTGTCTCATGCAGATAGACCAACATTTGGAATTCAGGACATGCTATGACTTGTCTAAGTGCTGGGACTGATAATTATCATGATTACATGGGCGAAGGAGCTTTGTAGTAAGATAATAAACTGATTTTTATGCAACAAGAATGAGATCTCAATGAGATTAATTTGAAATGTCGGCCATTACTAATACGATACTGAGCCTACAGACAACGAGTGCAACACTCCCTCTATAGGGCACTGGAAATGCAGCAAAGTAAGAAATACATTTTAAAGCAAATGTGTTACAATTTATCTTTGGTTTTTCAATACAATTCAAGCCTTTACATGTATATTTTTAACAATGTAAAACAACATAATCTATACATAGTATTATTTGAAACACAACAATTTTTTTGTTTGAAATGAGAATAATAATACTGTGTATACTATATATATATATACAGTATATATTACAAATTTTGCTTGGTTGACTGCTGTCAACTGATAAAAAATTACTAATTAATCACACTTTTTTCTGTAATCCTTAAAAGCATACAGGTCTTTAGTGACCTGGGACGTCATGCACTAGCTCCACCTCATTTATTTTTTAAAGTAAGACATCAAAATTTTGTAATATTCTTCAATCAGTTCATTATAAACTATATTACATGGAACTTTTTTTTGTTAAAATGTTATGTGGTTGCTAACGACCTGAGGTGTTTAACAGTGTTCATACTAAATTTAATTTATCTGGTAATGTAGAAACAACCAAAAGACGGTATATTTTAAATAGTTGTTTAGTAGCATCTTTATGAATGAATGCCATCATCACAGATTTTTCTTGAAAAGAGTTCATTTATATTATTTATTCAACTCTTTGTTATTGTGTGGCTTAATTGTCTGCTGTGATGCTTTTAAACTCATGCAGGCCTATAGTAGTACATAGCACTGGATCACTTATGAAGCAAAATAAAGTCCTCTGAAGGACTGAATTAATAAAAAAGTACTGATTTGGTCTTTCTTGCACATTCAGCTAGGACTGTTTAAGTAACCAAATACAATCATGGGATTTGTCACTAAAATAGAATCCCAGAATTTTACTACAACTGCTTGCAAAAAAAAAAGAAAAAAAAAAAAAAAAAACTCAATCAAGCACACACACACACACACACACACACACACACACACACACACACACACACACACACACACACACACACACACACACACACACACACACACACACACACACACACACACACACACACACACACACACACACACACACGCACTGCATTTTAGTGAGACAACAAAATACATCTTAACCATAAACATCCTTATGTCAGTGGATACTTGAACAGGTCAACAAAACAACAAAACTACACAAAGCAAAAAGATATTTCAATAGCCTTGGGGCAAAAAAACAACAACAACATCATTCCACAATAACGTTAACCGAATGCAGTCTACCCATAAAAAGATGCTAAGCATATTGACAGCTCTGAATCCCAACTCTCCATTCAGATTGTAAATTATCATATAATGTTATTAAAGCATATGCTAATTGAAATACTTTTTACATAATGGCAGTATCTACAAGTATATCACTCCCTCTGGTGGTCTAAAAAAGAATTGATGCTCTGTTTGTAATTTAAGCCTAAACTAATATAGATTCAAGAGAGTTGTATGAACTCTCTGGATCTCCTGACAATTTCCAAATAAATATGATACCTGAATCTGTTCGTTTTTCAACCTCTAGCCCTGTGCCAATAGAAGTCCTCGCAAACATCCTTATTGTGAAGGCTGAAGATGTCTGCGCGCTTATTTTAGCCTGGCCTTTCATTCCCTCATTCCCTGAACAGTGCTCATTCATACACTGCATCCTAACAAGTAAATATGCTGTGTACCCGTATCCACTGACTGACTCACTGGCTACTCAGAGAAAAGAGCTGAATGGAAGACCTGTAGATATTGTGCTATGTGTGAGAGAGACATAAGAGACATAAACATCCCAAAAAAATGTGTCCTCATGTGAACCCCAGTTGGATAAGTCCAGCACAAGCCAGAATGTAGAGGACCAGAGATGTTACACAAGCTCAATCCAAACAGCCAAAACCAACAGAGAGAACTCAATGTCAACACACAGAGAACAAGTGAGAATATGGAAACACTGGGGAGGAAATCGCATAACTGGAAAGCTTTCTTTTTTTTCTTCCCCATAACGATTTGCTTGACCACAACAAATTCCAGTAATGTGCTGGTGAGTAATTCAGATTGTTTTCAAGGGAATATCGAATGGATGTATAGTCTGCATACTGTATTAGAAAGGTCAAGATCCACTCGTAAATATGAATTTAAATTATAAAGTGAATTTCAGCACTGACTATTCTAAAAATAGGACAAAATTGCTTATTGTACACTTGCAATTAAAGTACTGATAACTTGAAGCAGACTATATATGTAAAATGAAACAATTAGCAAATCAGTATACTTTATACAGCAGTGATTATTTTGATGTCACCATGTTAAAATAATTACAGTGCAGAAAAGAACTGTTGGCAGAGATTAATTGACACTTGTCATGACTTCTCTCATAAAACTAGCTAACTCCAAACAAAGTTCTCAAAAAAAGATAATTAACATTGATTATATGATGAATTCAGGAAACCAAGGCAATTCCTCAATTGATTTATATTCAAACGTACGTTCTACCATTACAAGATGGCAGAGCCGTTGATGAAATGCACCATCTATCTCTCTTGGCTGAGCAGGCACCTTTTAATGCAGCAGACCACTGTCAGAATAGCTGAAATCATTACATGATTTCTTACAAAAAGAAATATGAAAGTGCATACTGCATATTATCTTCGGTATGCCAAGGCCACAAGTCAAATGCTAAAAGCCATGTGCACAGTAATGTACACTTTCAGATTCTTGTGAAAATAACTATTTTAATTATTGTAAATATAACAATTTTATTAAGTCTAAAGTTGAGTCGTTGGGCACAGAGCTAAAAAATGAGTCCAAAATTAACACCTAACAATCCACAAATACAAGTAAATTGCTTTTTTTCCCATCACAATTAGGTATCAAAAGCTTAAAACTCAAAATTCATCTTGTGAAAACTGTTTTGAAATTGGACTTTGCGTTAATGGAAATGGTAGGCTACTTTAAAACCTAGCCGGCTCTTCCCTCTTGTATTTTACAATCAACATGTTTTCTAATCCCACTGTATTGTGATAGAAGTGATATTATGACATAAATTTATTAGATTGTCACAGGAAAACGCATCAACAAAATTTTTTTTCGCCCGGTGGCTATTTTTGGTACAGCTCCTAAACAAAATCTCATAGGAACTGTAATATTTGTGATATCAACTTCAAATTTGGAACACAACTTGGTAAGTGTGACGATGTTCAGCTGGATTGGCCTCGAGTGTCTCTAGAGGGCGCTCCACTCTCTTAAGTCATCCCTGGACTGTTCATGCACACACCCCTGGACTGATTACTCTCTCACCTGTTTCCATTGATCGCTCTCTCACCTGCATCTAGTTCCACCAGAGAATGTCTAATTGAAGAGAATTGGCACTGGCTGGTTACTTCCGGTTTCTGGACTGG